CAAGGGCTCATTACTCCATCATGGAACACAATTTAAAGGAAGTTTTATGCAAAATGGATTAGAAGTATACCTGTTGTTACATTTCACATTATAATCTGGTATTGTGTTATATTTTCCCTAAATGAATTTGAGCAGGGAGAGGGAGACTCCAGCCCTGTCCAGCAGCCCTGCTCATCACCTCCTGTCAGCAGTGAGGATCAGAGGCTCGCAAGGCAGAATGTTGCACAGTTTCTCAGGGAGGCCGAGAGAAATAGGAGGGAGTAAGTGAAGTACAGCTACTCAGAGTTATTTCACTTTAAGGTATACATCTTTAAACACTAAACTTTTAATGTAGAGATACAGTGGTTCAGTATATGGTGACAAGAACCCCCTACAATACAATCCAACATTATCACAAACTGCAGCACTGCAAAATAAGTGTGTTTTAAACATAGTTTTATTTTCTTGTCCAACCCTTTATTTCATCTGTGTGTAGGTGTAATGTTTAGCCCTTAATAACTTCACTCAGATATTTTGTATTATTTTATAAATAATGTTCTCATACTGGCTCAACAATAGCAAGAACTGATTTGGTGCTGCTTAGTCACCACTGTAAATGAAACAAGCAAACCCATTTTAAACGTTTACTTTCATTATTAATATAGTTATTATTATTCAATATTTGTACTGTGTATAACTTTACCAATCACTAAACCATTCAATCACAACAAATAAATCCTTAAACTTGTGAACAGTTTAAACTTTATTATCAGTGCATCCTCACCGGTCAATATTGTTATAAACCCATTTTACTCTATTCTTTCTTCTCAGGATTGAAAAGTTGGAGAAAGAGAGAACACTGAGTGTCCAGTGCAGAAAGAATGGGTGGACTGATGTGCCTGGAGAACTAGAAGAGTATGAGAAATTGCTGGAGGAAGAAAGAAATGCTGAGAGTGGGTCTTTTTTCACTACAGTACCCTAATATTTCCCACAGATGTTTTATAATGTGTAAAGTTGACAAGTCCTGTGATTGTAAAACCATGTTGAAGGAACCATGCACATTCAACACTTTACTTCTTTGACAGAGCAAACTGCCATAATCTTCTTTGCATTTGATTCTTTAGAAATCCATCTTCAAAAGCAGCTTGTGAAGATTCATAACGGTGTGAGGAAATTTCAGAGACAGCTAATAGATGTGAAGCCGACTCCTGAGTGTAAGTGTTGTACCTCGCAGTGATTCTTTACCATTCATTCAGCCATCTTGTGAAACACTCAGTACTTTTTAGTCATCATTTTTATAAACATTTGTGCCATTTTGCTTCTTCAATATAACATGGTATTGAAAAGTAGTGTACTGCTCAAAGAAATCATGGCCATTTTAGCCTCATAATCATGTACCATGAGTATCAGATTGTTAATAATATTTCTGCATATCTATTTTCAGTGATTGAAAGACTGAAGGAAATAATGACAGAGGTGGAAATCTCCATTAACAACCTAAAGGAGGAAGAGCGGTCATGGTAATCAGAAAAACAACTGTATTCTAAATATTACTTACACATCATTTAATATAATGCAATCCAATACATCTTTAATATAATAAAATGAAAAATATAAATAAATAAAAACAGCATCGCACTCTGTTCTCAGAAAAAGCAAACACGTTAAACCATTCAAAATGAGAAGGTTATAAACACCCAAGTAGGCAGAAAAAGTGACAGCTTCTGATCAGTGTTGGCTTAACTTTAGGAATGAATATTTGTGATCTCATGAAAATACAATAAATAGTGGTCTTTTTTGTTTCTCTGATTCCCTTAGCGTTGAGGAACTCTTGAAAGAAGAGAGGACATGCAGACAGGAGATCACGGCTTATGAGAAAAAGATTGAAAACCTGAGCCTTGCTGTCAAATCAGACCTTAAACTACACACAGCTCCCACTGTTAAGGTCTGCTGCTCCTCTTATATCCCTCCTCGCTATATTTCCACTGTTTGGCATCGTTAATGCAATGAAACAAGTTTGTGTTCTAGCAATAAATCTTACAATTAATGCAATCAATAAATATCACAAGATTTTACTGCTTTTGACCTCTTGAGACTATAAATAAGAAAGTGTGAAAAACACATGTATTAAGTATTTTAAGAAGTCAAAATAAATTCACATTTTTTATTTAATGCATCTAGAATTCTGCAGCATTTCATTGATAACATTGTTTTTTCCATAAGACCAACCCCCCAGACAGAGACCTCCCAGCAGAGGTCCTAGCAGTGGAGGTATTCCTGCTGAAGACAGGAGGCCCGTGCGGAGGCTGGGACAAATATGACCACCAAACCTTCCTTAAAGTAAGACGTTATTTTAATTCAGTCTTAAAAACTTGCCCTTTAAATACAATTTTTGTATCTACTGCCAACTTCCACTCACAGGTCATTGCACACAGTCACTGAACACAATCCATAAACACAAATGTGATTGCTTCATGCAACTACACATATGCCAAGCCAAATGTCGATAACAGCAAGACACCTCTCTAAATGAGTCTAACCTGTTTGATTTCCAGGTCTGGACAAAGCACAGCGGGCAACAAGTCTACAGGAAAGAGGCCAAACTGTACCTGCCTGGTAAAACATTGGAGGAGATAGAGCAACACGAGGACTGGCATCAGGAGCTGATCTACCTACAGGACAGTAAGAGAGAGGTACAGACAAAACATGTATAAATCTTTAAATCAAAAGCAAACCTTGTTTCTGGTTTCCGTTTGTGTTAACTGTCTTCATACTATACCCAGGCCATTCAGCGGTGGAAAGCCAGCAAACATCAGAAACGCCAGAACAGAATACAGAGTCAGGAGGCAGAAGAGGCAGAAAAGAGTGAGAGGGAGGCCAAAGTCCAGGCTAAGCAACACAGGTGAGTCTTAAGTATAGCAGTATAGAACTAAAAACAAGAAAGACACGCAGACATTGACTCCATGGTTAAAGGCAGCAAGTCATAATATCCCACCAGAACTGATGAGCACCCTTAGTGTTTCATAGGTCACCTTAAATTGAGGTGAAATTGGTCGGCTTTACTTCCTACTCTCCCTAGTCTTTGTTATTTTCACTCTATTGTTTCAACGTGTTCTGTCCTCTTCTGTTTAAGGACTGAGCAGGAGAGGAGGGAGGCAGAGTTGCAACTGGAGAAGTGGAGGGAAGAAAAGCAAAGGACCGAGGAACAGGAAGAAGAGCAGAGGCTGGCTGAGGAAATACAAAAGAGGAAAAAGGCAAAGGTGCTCTAGCATGTGTGGCAAAAGTAATGTGTGCTTATTTTTCATCAGAGATAGCGCTTCTGTGCTACTCTGAAATAAATACACATGCATACAGTGATGTGAATAGGTGCATGGTGGGTTACCTTAGGAAATATGAATGTATAGCATTTACAAAGCATTATTTCTGCTTACAGGAAGAGCGGCGCCGGCAGATGGAAGTGAAGCTGACCATTGAGGAGCAGCTGCGACTGAAGAAAGAGGAAGAGGAGGAGCAGTGGAGGAGGAAGAGAGAGAAGGAACTGAGAGAGATGGATGAGAGAAGAAGGGAGGCAACCATAGGAATCCAACGCTTTAATGAAAGGGTACAAACTTAGTCTAAAAATCACAGAAACACAAGTTGTTTGTCTTTTTGCCTGGTGTTATGTCTATTAGAGGCAAGGCTTTCTGACCAGAGCACAGTTTTTGTTATTTGAGGTTGTGCAATGTATTTAAGGGATGTGAGGTCACTTTACTGTGTTGAATAAAAATCATGTCTCTGCCTTTTTTCTGCAGGATCTTCTCAAGGTGGAGGCAAAGCTTCAGGAGAGACAGCGGAGGGAAAGAGAGGAAGAGGAAAGACAGAGGAGAATCACTGCTAAGTTGAAAGAAAAGGTAAGGCTTGTACAATTCATGTTAATTGTCTCTCAAATGATTAACACAAAGACAAACATTATGACCACAAACCTGCACATCCTTAAAATATTAAACAAACAGAGTTGTGGGTTTAGTAAAGGTTGATGTTTATGCTTCATCCAGGTGGATGGTAACGTCAGCAGAGACCCCTCCAGGCTTACCCGTCCCACCAAGGGATGGGAGGAACGAATGAAACACATTGGACCTACAGGTGGAGGGCCTGTCCTACAGATGTTTCACAGGTCTGTTTGAAACAACCACTAGGACAGGTTTCTGTTCAACAATTATTTGAAAGATTAAAGGTGATTGAAGCTGAATCACTGAAATGTGCTGTCATTTTGTTGCAGAGCTGTTCCCACTTGGAGACAAGGCCTGTGATGAGCATCAATGGTCAACTGAACATTCCTGAAACACATTCCCAATTCTGCTTTTTATAAAATTTGATTAAATTAAATGTTTTGCAATGAGACCTCAACACCAGAATGTGCCTTTTAAATCTACTGTTTACTGCTTTACATAAAATGTAATGACATTACGCAAAATTACTATTTTAAATAAAAGTTTAGCCTCTTACTTGCTGCTAGGCTTTTAATCCCAAACTAAGAGGTATGATCACACACCTATAACCACATGGTTTTTTTGTTTGTTTTAGGATTTATTTTAATATCTTATTGAGCTCTGGAAGTGTTTTAAGTCTCTACTAATTACATTTGGAATGAAATCACATCCTGATTTAATTTGTGCTGCCTGTGTTCTTAATTTCTCGTTTATTATTTTTCATCTTGTCCTTTATTTATTTTATAAACTATTTTGTTTTTTTATTGTATTTTTCTCTCTGTGAAGCTCTTTGTACTCTGTTTTGATAAGTATTCTAAAAATAAAATGTATCTTTATTTAAAAAACCTAATTTGCCTTTTTGTACCATAGATATTTTGTACGAGAGAGGGAGAGAGAGAGAGAGAGAGAGAGAGAGAGAGAGAGAGAGAGAGAGAGAGAGAGATAATATCAAATGTATATGTTGTACATTGTTGTACATTGCTCTGCAGTGCTAGCTTTTATTTTGAAAAACAAACGTACCGGAAAAGATTCCTCATAGGTGCGGATGCAAAGATGGCGGAAGAAGAGAGCCAGTTTGTAGAATTTGAGCAAATAGATTTTTTAAGAGATAGACATGTACGATTCTTCCAAAGAACGCTTCAGGTGTTGCCGGAGAGGTACGCCTCGCTGGAAACGACCAGGTACATTTACTGGAATGGAAATTGTTTGTGTAATTCATATACTGTACTGAATAACTTGTCTAGCATTCAAGCTAACTGTGGTTCAATGCTACCCGTTTTGAATGGAGGCTAGTGCTAATAAGCTTAGCGAGCTAACTGTGGTTCACCCGTTTTGAATGGAGGCTAGTGCTACTTAGCATGGCTTGCAGCAGTGGCATTGAAGTTATTATGACAGATTGGCTGTAACGTTGGTTACACAATAACTAACGGTACAGCTGGGCACGACGCCCTGTTAAAAGTAGTATAAAGCGATAGTAGGGTTCACTATTAAATGAATAAAGCTTATTTGAAACTGAACTTAAAGCTAGATGGACTGCTTACTTGGATATGTTTTTCAATGGTTAACTTAGCGAGAAACATTTCCGAAAATAACACATTTTACTTATCTCTCCAGTAAGAGCTAAACTAAGCAAGCAGCTAAAAGTCAAGATATACTCTTAAATTATGCTTTATTACACATTCATCTAATCTGGTGTATATATTATACTATGTAATCCCTTTGTTGCTTGAATTTGTTAATCGTTATATCCATTAATTTAAAACAACTGTGTCCAAAGATTTTTTTTTGTTTGATTCAAAACATTTGTTTTAATACGTAAAGTATTTTAGTGTTTTGGGCAAGTATCTAGCAGTACACCTTTTTGAAATGTTTAGATCACATGACAAATCACACTTTTAACCATAGTCAAAGTCACGATAAAGAAAACCCATAGGGCCTACTAATAGTTGTGATTATTAAAAGTATTCTATATTATTATTATTGTTTACATTGCATAAGTGTCGATATGTTTTCATATAATGTTATGATTAAATAGGTACCCGATACTTGATGTTGCTTTTTGGGCACATGGGAATACTTTTTTTCTTTCTAAAAAGGAATAGAAAAAAACCGGTGGTCACATGTGCCCAAAATATTAAATAAAGTATGATTTAGAATAAATCCCTTTTAAACCAATGGTGTGACATTTTGGCCTATTTCTGGACTTATTTCAGGGCTATCACAACTGCAACTGAAAATTAACAAGATTGCTATCTGCCTTCTTTTCAGGTTAACAATCATATTTTTTGCCCTGTCTGGTCTGGATGTGCTGGACGCCCTGGATGTGATTGATAGGAAGACCATGATTGAGTGGATCTACTCATTACAGGTTCTGCCCACAGAGGACGGTAAGTGTCATAGCTTATCACTTTTTCCACAACTGACTATAAATAAGATCAGTTTAAACAGTTAAATGTTGCAGTGTAAGGCATTGGATGTATGCTTTATTCATAAAAAGGTTCACATGACAGAGCAAGTCAAAAATGTATTCTCAAAGCACTAGGGCTGTACCCGAATATTCGAATATCCGAATATTCGTTCGTTGGAGTACTATTCGGGTTTCAATTTCGTTATTTGGATATTCGTTTTGTTTGTTTTTTCGTTTTTTTCCCGTTTTTTTTTCAAATTGAATTTATTGAAATATCCAATATCAACGTAAGAGCTTGTTCGGGGGGTGCTAACACTTAACCATAAACGTTATCGTTTACTTTCTCCGTCTTTATATGTAGATATTACTTTTCTCCGTTAATCTCCGTCACGTTGTTTCCAATGCAACAACAACTTCCTGTCAACAGCGCTACCTCTCCTTCAAAATAAAAGCAATGCCATAAATATGAAGCCAAGCCAAATTTAAGACACAACTGCAACGAAAGTAACAAACACAATGCGATATCCTTTTCAATTTCAAAGAACACAAATTGGGTTAATAACTATAAAAGAACAATACTGTAGAATAACAAAATGAATGCCGTGAATACACCAAAATACACGTGTTGAAGTGATTCGCTGCTGATTACTAGGTAGGAAAAGGTGCCACAGACTAATGTTGAAAAGATTACTGTCCCCTTTTCCCTCATCTAGTGTAGCACAGGCCCTGTGTTTCTGATTGTCTGGAATAGTGTTTTGTGGTTTACTCAGGGACGTGTATTTTTCCTTCAGTGCACATTCAGCAAACAAACCGTGATGAGATATTTCTGAATTTGTTAAAACGTTTATTGGATTATTTATGCTGACTGCACCTTTTGATAGGGTTGGATGATGGTTTGAGAGTGTGAGCACCGAGAGAAACAAAACTGTTAATGAGTTTAAGGCAGAAATATGTTTAGATACATCAGTGTTTCCCATACATTGATTTATTTGTGGCGGGCCACCACAATTAAATACCGTCCGCCACAAGTTGATCTCATATATAATATAAAAACAATTTGGTGGACTAATGGATAGTGAGGTGGGCTGATGCGTTGGAAAGTTGCGAGTTCAAATCCCGCCTGGAACACCACTACTGTGGGACACCACAGTAGTAGTGTGACTTTGAGTAAGGCACTCAGCCCTCAGTCACTCCAGGGAGAATGTGCCTGTAATTGCTAATTGTAAGTCGCTTTGGAATAAGGCGTCTGCTAAATGCCTAAATTGTAAATTTATATTTTTGGGAGAATAAACCCCACAGATCCTCAACTCCGGTGTGTCCCACTCATTAACAACGCAACACAGAGCAACAAGAAAGTTGTCTACAGTAGCCATGAACTCGCATGTATTTTCTTATTTGAGG